TTGCAAAGGGATAGTCTAAATATGTTTTAGTTTATAAGAAAGGGCAGAATACTCAGACTAAAGAATTGTTATGCTTTTGTCTGATTTTTGCTTCTTTAAGGGATGTGTAATTAAATGTCTTGGCTCCAGGTGGAATTACCCTGGAGTGTCTTTGGGGCTCGGCCAACATAATGATAAAACTGTATTCCTAACCTTTCCTTTGCCATTATTTGCTAAGTTAATCTGGAAAAGATGTTTCAATCACGGAGGCCCGTTGGCATCCCTTTTGCTACCATTTCCTTGGTGCTAAAAACAGAAGGATGAAACACTGGATCAGTTTCTCCGTCTGCTTTGCTTTATCTTCACTGTAGCATTGCCTGTAGAAAGCCAGGGGATGGGTTAGTCCTCTTTGCAGCCTGTTTTACTGTATGTTTATCTAAACAATATTTTAATATTTAATCCTGTAGTATGTATGTTTTAAGACCCGGTTATGTGTCTGTAGTGGTCAGTCAAATTGGCCAATGATGGGATGCTCTAAAGCCATGGATTTGTGGTTTTGGTAGCCAAGGACTAAATATAATGTAAAACAAAGTTTGAATACCATCCAAAAAGTAAAGCAGTCCCATACATAGGAACTGCAGCTGAGGCTGTTTCCATTTTTAGATCACTGAAGATTAACTTGAATTGAACAGTAAGGTGCAAGGGCAGATTTTCACTGTTTGCTTATCTCAGAATGATTGCCTGCACATGCGGAGGGGAAACAGTCCAACACACACATAAACATTGAGTGTATGTTTAAACTGTAAGTAAAGCTACTGCTCTTTTTTTATATATATATATATATAAAACTTGTCTGCACAAATCTGAATGTCAGCTAATTATTTTTGTTATCTTTCACTATGGCTAGTGGCCCTGTCAGACTTATATGCATGCAGTTCAGATAAGGGCTTATTGGCAGAGAGAAGCAGACAATTTTTTAATCACAAAAACGGGCAGCTCTGCTCATCAAAGTACCACTGACTGTTGTTGGTCTAATCTGGCCTTTCCAAACTCTCACCACTTTCTTTGCTTCAGCAACATAATTTTATTCTTCCTTACTCCCACCCTCCCTCTGTCACTCTT